AATAATATGAAAAAGAGTTGAACTAATGACTTTTTGGATGGTATTTCTACTAACCCAGTGACAACAACCATGGGGCTGGAATGTGCGGAACAAATTGATCTTAGATTATGAAAATTTTTGAAATATAAAGTAAATGTACGTGTACATGTACTTTTTTTTAATGTCATAAATATATACATATTTGTATATGTTGATATTGGAAAATAAATACTAAAATTAAGGGCAAAGCATTAGCTAAAGTATATTAATTTAATAATTACTTAACTTTTCAAAATTTGTAAAAGTTAAAGCTAACTTCATTTTATAGCTTACAATCCCAAGCATATATAGTGGTACGTACTAATGCTTTTACTAAAAATGAGGTTGTAGTAAAAAGGAGTAATGATAACATTTTTACGAAATTATGCCCAAGGCAAAGGAAAAAAAGTTTAATAAGAAAAAAGTTTTATTTTCATAAATAATTTATAAGTAATATTAATTAGTCCACCAATATTAATTTTGATTGGCGAGAAAAATAAAAACACAAAATTGGCGAGAAAAGTAAAAAAACATTGTCTATGTAGGCATTTATGCTCGATGCACAAGATAATAGTCTTTTTGAGCACTGCATTTGAGGTAAAAGAGAAAAAAGTTTAATAAGACAAGAATTTTATTTTTACAAGTAACTTATAAATCAAGTTAATTGGATTGTTTATTAATTTTACCTAGTCTAAAGAATAAAAGCATATTATTTATATAGAAAATGATTAGTTCACCTTTTGATTCAATACACTTAACAATACTTATTAATTTAATCATTAAAATTTACCTTTAAAAATTTATTGACTTTAAATTTAAATTTAAAAATATTAATTTCTTAATAATTAAATTGATATGTGTTATTAGGTGTGTTGAACAAAAAAACATATTAATTATTGTCCTATCTATAAACATTAATAATCAATACACATAATTGAAATTCAAAATTTTATTTTTATAGCTTTATTGTTTCTATTTTGCAAAAATATGTTTGCTTATTCCCTATTGTGTTCCTTTCCTTTACTCCTGTTTGCAGTAAGAATCTATACTTTTTCTTCTAGCATCTAGCGGTTCATACCAGTTCAACCACTTAAGCGGTTTTCAACCCACGACAGGACCGGATTTGGGAAAGATTACTGGTTTTACTGGACGGTGCGATCCAGTTTTATCACCGCTTGTTTGGGCGCTAAATTCCGCTGAACATTTTTCGATTCCATGCAGAGAATGGAGAAGTTGATCAGGTTCCAGATGTTGAATTCAATATCAAGGTACAAGCTTTTCAATTTCAAGTTCTCCAAGATTGGGAATCTTCATCTGTCAACAGTTTCTCGATCACCCAAACTTTCGCAGCCTAAGAAAACCCAGAAGTGTAGCTCCAAAAATGAAGCAGAAAAGAGTTCCATGGCCTCGCTCTTCAACCAGATAACGGAGATTTTAGGAGTTGGAAACATAACCCCAGATGAAACTCCATCTGGTATTTCACTATTGAATCGAACCGATGTGAGGGATGTTGTGTTTAATCAAGAATCACCGGCTGGCATGCAAGCTGTTTGTAGAAATGCCGAGGAGAGTGTGTTGATGAAAAAGGAGGGGAATTTATCAGTTTCGGATGATTTTAAAAAGGGAAATGAAGTTGAATTTGATGTGAGCCCGGTGGTTCATGAGATAACACAGATAGTTAGAGATGAGCATAGTGTGGTTTCGATGGAGGAGAGGCTGGAAAACTCCGGGATACGGTATGAACCAGGGATTGTTGAGAAGGTGTTGAAGAGGTGCTTCAAGGTGCCCCATTTGGCTTTAAGGTTCTTCAAATGGGTAAAGGAAAGAGAAGGGTTTTGTCACAACACTGAAATTTACAATACCATGTTGTACATAGCTGGAGAATCAAAAAACTTTTTGCTTGTTGAGGAACTGCTGGAGGAACTGGAGGAGAAATCGTGCAATAAGGATATCAAGACTTGGACAATCCTTATCTCACAATATGGGAAGGCAAAGTTGATAGGCAAAGCATTATCAATGTTTGAGAAGATGAGGACATGTGGTATTGAACCTGATGCAGCAGCTTATAAAATGATCATATCTTCACTTTGCAAAGCTAAAAAATGTGAGCTTGCATTAGAATTTTTCAAGGAGATGGTTCAGAAGGAAATAGCCCTTGATTTGACTATGTGCAAGAGATTACTCAACTGCTTAGCAAGATCAGGAAATAGTGTTTCTGTTCACTCAGTTGCGGAAGACATGACAAGGGTCTTTCAGATTCCAGAACGGGAGGTTTATGACCATGTTCTAAGGAGTTTTTGTATCTCTGGAAGAATCAAGGAAGCTCTAGAAATCATTCGTGACCTAAAGAATAAAGAGTTGTCTCTAAACCCTGGGTATTTTGAGATTCTGGTGAAAGGATTGTGCAAGGCTGATAGGATCACTGATGCTCTAGAAATTGTTGATATTATGAAGAGGAGACAATTGGTCACTTCAGATGTTTATGGGATTCTCATCAGTGGGTACTTGAAAAGAAATGATCTTTCCAAAGCTCTTGATCTCTTTAAAAGCATGAAGGAATCTGGCTATTTTCCCACAACTTCCACTTATACTGAGCTCATGCAACGGTTTTTTAGGTTGAATCAGTATCAGAAGGGCTGCGAGCTATACAATGAGATGCTAGATGGTGGTATTGAACTAGATATTGTGGCAATCACAGCCATTATTGCAGGTCATGTTCGACAAAACCACATTTCTGAAGCATGGAAAGTGTTCGAGAGTATGGAGGAAAAAGGTATCAGGCCTACATGGAAGTCATACTCAGTATTCATTAAGGAGCTTTGCAAAGTTGAAAGGACAGGGGAAATTCTTAAGGTCTTGAACAAAATGCAGGCTTCTAAAGTTCCCATTCGAGATGAGGTATTTGATTGGATTATATCTTGCATGGAAAGAAAGGGAGAGATGAATAATGTTGAAAAAGTAAAGCAGATGCAAAGAATTCTTACTTCTCATTCTCAAGTAGGTGAGGCATCTGGCAATAACATAGCCAGGGTGGAAGATCCCCATCTTGAGTTGAACCACAATCAACCAGAAATAGAAAGAACAGATTGTAACTTAATAGAGCCATTTTTGAGGAATTACAGTGAGCATGATCTCCAACAAGTTTGTAGAATATTATCATCCCCAATGAACTGGGGCCTCATGCAAGAAGCTCTGGAGAAATGCAGTGTTCAGTTTACACCAGAACTTGTCCTAGAAATATTGCGAAAATGCACGTTGCAAGGTAAAGCTGCACTACTTTTCTTCTCATGGGTAGGAAAGCAAGCTGGTTATCAGCACACCACAGAAACATACAACATGGCCATCAAAATCGCTGGATGTGGAAAAGACTTCAAGCACATGAGAAACCTTTTCTATGAAATGAGAAGAAGGGGTTGCTCAATAACACCAGATACATGGGCAATCATGATAATGCAATATGGTCGAACAGGTCTAACCGAAATTGCTTTGAGGACTTTCTCTGAAATGAAATCTAAGGGACAGACCCCAACTGCTAGTGGATACAAATATCTGATCATTTCTCTTTGTGGGAAAAAAGGTAGGAAGGTAGATGAAGCAATTAAACTATTCCAGGAGATGATCCAGGCAGGACATATCCCTGACAAAGAACTCCTCGAAATTTATCTCAGTTGTTTATGTGAAGTTGGCAAACTCGTTGAAGCTAGAAGTTGCACAGATTCTCTCTCTAAAGTTGGATACACAATTCCACTTAGTTATTCCTTGTATGTTCGGGCACTCTGTCAAGCAGGAAGACTGGAAGATGCTTTAGAAATGATAGATAATGTTGAGACAGAACGTTCTACGTTGGAACATTATGTTTGTGGAAGCGTTGTTCATGGATTGCTACAAAAGGGTCGATTAGAAGAAGCATTGGCAAAGGTGGGATCCATGAAAAAAACAGGTATTTGTCCCACCGTCCATGTTTATACATCCTTAATAGCTCATTTCTTCAAGGGGAAACAGATTGAAAGAGCTCTGGAGATATTTGAGAAAATGAAACAGGAGGGATGTCAACCAACTGTTGTCACATATTCGGCATTGATCCAAGGGTACATGAATGTGGGAAAGGTTGTTGAAGCTTGGGATGTTTTGCATCAGATGAAGATGAAGGGACCGGTGCCTGATTTTAAGACTTACACCATGTTTATTGGTTGTCTGTGTAAGGTAGGGCAATCTGAAGAGGCCATGAAGCTTTTGTCTGAGATGCAGGAGAACGAGATTGTTCCAAGCACCGTCAATTATCGAGCAGTTTTCTTTGGACTAAATAGAGAAGGTAAACAAGATTTGGCTAAAATTGTATTACAACAAAAGTCAGCTTTAAGATGCAAACGCAAGTTGTTAATATGAATGAATTTGTTCTTCTCTCTAAATCTTTCTCTGAACCTGTCATTCCAGAGTACACCGCCTTATTTCTATTAACAGTTCTCAATTCGCTATATAACAATTAAGTTGAATCCAAAGGGGAGACCCCAATTTTCGTATTCAAAAGCTTGAAAGAAGAGTAAGATAATGGTTACAAAGCTTAATTCATCGCTAAAGTAGCAAAATTCTACTCCTCATGACTGGTAGCTTGGTGCCCTCCAATCTTGGACTAAGCAACATTGTTAATTATGCATACACATTCCTGAGGATATAAAGAACCACTTCAGACCCATCCGCTATGAAGAGAACAAGTAATGCATGAAGATTCCCTGGCGTTGGCCTTTGTTTCATAGATTTTGTTCTTAGCTTCAATGATGTTTATCAGGTGCTTAATCAAATCTTACATGAAAATGAGTGAAGATAAATCAAAGAGAATGTCAACTGCTAATGAGAAACTAATAAGAATGCTCTACCCCAGTTATCATTTTGATGAAAGAGGCAGCAACTTTGCAGCCCATAAATGTGCAAGGGTAGAGCAGAGCTCAATGTAGGGTGTACGATAGTTACAATAGAAACACCCTTACTCGATCACCTGTCCTTACCTAATTGCCTGTCTTCAAGAGATCTATTCCATCAGAACACACCATACTCATTTAATACGATTGCTCCGTTAAGTCGCGTTACGTTCACCTAAGGCATCTGCTCTATCAGACAAATCATGTCATGATTACTAGGTTAAGCGAGTCACATGAATACCTTGTCAATATATACAAATACTTTCACAAACTACTATAAAAAGTAAGATTAGAAATCAATCAAGAACTCTTTCATACTTTCTTCTAAGAGAGCATAGCTCAGATTATTATTAAGTATCGAAGTGTCTACTAAGAACCACCCTTGAGACTTTGTAGGTTAACTTGAAGAAAAGACTGTAGCAAAGGAGATCTTGAAGGATTTCTACATCAACAGAACCCTTGAATATGGGATGTTTGAATATATGCAAGCTCTTTTTTTTTTTTATACTAAACTCTTGATATTCGAAAGTCACATTGGAATACCAATGCAGCTCCTCGTATCACATTTTGATGTATGTTTGCTATTTCAGTTTTGAAATTGTAAAATCTTACGGTCCGAAAATCTGGAAGTAATCCACGGAGAAACCAACAGGCTGAATGCTCCTTTGTCCTCTAACCGGACGATCGTAGCTGTTTCTAGCGCTTTTTCATTTTTTCTTTAAATACTATAATTTATAGTACGATGCAATGTTATATATAACATGACATATTAATATACAATTAACTTTTTTTTATTTTTATACGTGACAGTAATATTATATATATCAACTCAATCATAAATTGACAAATGTGATTCATTGAAATTATTTGTACCAAATGAAGTGGAATTTGAACTTTAATAAAAGGAGTTGCCCTTTAGCTGAATTGTATTGTAATGCAGCGGAGTCAGGTTGTTCTGGTACGGTTTCAAGTTTTGCATTCCTCCACCTGAGATAAGAAAGTTTCCTTTTGAAAAACACAAGTGCAGAGTAG